AATGTCCTATCTTGGATAGAAGACTTTCCTTTAGCTCGGACCATTGGAATGAAAACGAACCAGACCCTCTCTGCTACTGTGCCTATGACTAGCGGCGTTCCTCAAGGCTCCGTCCTCGGGCCGGAACTCTTTAAACTCTACTTTAACGATCTTCCTGTGACACTTCAAGCTGACTACCTACTCTATGCAGATGGCCTTAACCTATGGTCTGAAGTATCCAACATTGATGATGTTGACAGGCTGTAAGCATCACTTGACCTGCTGCATGATTAATCCGTCAAGTGTGAACTCCTTGTTAATCTTGACACATGTGCCCTTCTCCCCATTGAGGACTCAGTTCCGTTCGGTGGGTTCAAGGGCTATCTCCTCAAGATGATCACTCAAGAAATGGATCTTGGAGTTATCGTTTCATATGACCTCAGAACTTCAGCGTACACACTAGAAGTTGCGGCTGCTAATAGAATGCTGGGTGCCCTACAAAAATCGTTCTTTCGAATCTAGCCGGAGCTCCTTAACACTTTGTTTATTCCTCATGTTTGCCCAATCCTGGAGCGCGCTCTACCAGCTGTCTATCCCTTCACGAAACATGAATGTGCCTTGTTAGAAATGGTTCAAAGACGTGGCTCGAAATCCGTCTCGGAGCTTCACGACCTCAGCTACCCTCTTCGACTTCAGAAGCTTAACTTGTTCCCCCCGAAGTATCGCTGCCGTCGAGTTATTTTCATCTACACCGGACTGATCCTAAGGGGATAACTTGGGACGGACCTACAAAGACTCTTTCGACTCAAAGTGGATACCTCGACACGGGGTCACAACTGGAAGCTTTACAAACGAAGAATACTTTTCGTCCAGTCTGTTGCCACCCTATCTACCCGGGTGCTGAACGATTGGAATAGCTTACTAGAGAACGTGGTTGGTGCACAAACTGAGGGACCTTTTAAGCGCGGGTTCCTGCTACTCCTAATACAAAGGCGACGATCCCCAGAGACGCGTCGACTCGCAGACACAAGCATTGACCCCACAATGAGCTGGAAGTGACGAAGCTGACAAGGATCTCCCCTCCTGCTCCCTACACACCAAAGAACCAATCAACAACCATCTGATTCCATTTTTGTTTGCGTACCTCAAGTTTAATTTCAGGAGAATCCCGTGCCTTCAATCTTTAGCAGATCGTTGAGCCAGTAGCTGATACAGTGCTCTGATCAACCAATTATTGTCCACCTTCCCTGCACTAGCAGTACTGGCTGTGCCAGTTATGTGACGCAAGAGATAGTAAGAACGATCGACGTTCAGTTGTAAGCAAAATCATTTGAAACTAAATGGTAATACCAGTGGTGAGGGAAAGTACAGCAAATGGAATTGAAGTATGAGGATAAGACTCGGTTAGGTGAAGGAAAGGTTTCGTATTGCAACCCAAGAGCCCAATTGATGCTCAAACCTTTTAACTATAGATTCCTTTTTGGAAGTGACTTCTAACGCTTGATGCATCGGCGCGAAAGTTGAGTTTCCGCTAGAATTCGGTTACATCGCGGTTTGTCCAGTTTCATGCAATGCCCGTGGTAACAGGAGAATCTAACAGAACTAAATAACCAAGATAAATTCAGGTTAACTTTCCCAGTTAAAACACGGCAAATAAAGATTAGATCCCTTCTAGTTCTTCGATGGCGTATTGAATGCATCCCCAAACTAGGTAGGCGTCGTGGTACTTTTGTCTTTGTAACTCCTCGACCAACCTAGTTCCGACACACAGCTCCCCTTCTAGTGCACTTTTGTCACAGACAAGGCTTGGTGGACAGGCCTAGACGCAATATTCTAGCTGGGGTCGCACGAAAGCTGAGAGGAGCCTAGCAAACAAATCACCCGTTAGAGTCCCGAAAGAACGAAGGAAAACTACGACTTCCGGACCTGTTTTCTAGCCACCTTATTCCAGTTGTCTCCGGAGTAAAGAGTGGAACAGTGAACGACACCTAGATCAACCTGGTGAGTCAGGTGAGAAATTTCATTCCCCTCGATCACATAACTGGTGGAGGAATCAGGCGCTCCGATACGCAGCACTGAACACGTTGGCTGATTTCTAGCCAGCAACCACAAGATTGACCATTCCCAGAGTCTATGCAGGGCCTGCAGGGACATCTACTATATTCCAGAACTTCAGGTCACCATCAAATAAGAGCGATAGCGCCTTAAGCTCCTCACTTAAATCATTTATGTGGAGAGTGAACAGCAGTGGCACCAGGAGAGAACCTTGCGGGACGCCGCTAAGGACAGCTTGTCGAAATGAAAGTCTGTTCCCCACACTTGTACTGTTCTCGTCCATCTAGAAAAGTTGGCAAGCACTGAAGGCCGCGACCGGATATCCCATAAGACGTCAACTTTAGTGAGTCGCGCATGGGGGACAATGTTTAAGGCCTTGGTGAAGTCAGTGAACAGCACGTCTACTGCATGCCCACCGTCTACTGCTTCAGTTCAGCTACCAGTTAGTTCATTAGACACGAAAATCCTTTGCGAAATTCATGTTGCGCGAAACAGCAAATTTAATCTGATTATTTGGTTCCCCACTGTATTTCTTACTAATTTTCAGGTACTTTAACAACCACGCTAGTCTGGCTCATAATTTTCCGGAGTGCTTGTCACCGCGCTAGAATATCTGATAGACCACAGCCTTCTTCCATTCGGGAGGCAAGGCGTAGTTGTTGAATCACCTATGAAACATACAACTCAGGGGTCTGCTGAGTTCCTCTGTCAGTACGTGCAGCAGTTGGGATAACAGAGTATGATCGGAAACCTTAGTTAGGTTCGTCTCCATCAGCAACCGGAGAACTTACGATTCCATCGCACTAGTTTCTTTTGGACAAGAGTCCTCACGAATTCTCGAGACCAGTACTTTGCGTGGCATATTTGTCTCGCTGACAAAGACGTTTGAGTATTGCTAACCGAGCACGCACGCTTTGTCGTTCTTCTAATCTACTTTTTTAATTCATCATATTTGTAGCTCTGGCTCACCATTTTTCGTTTATGTCGTTTTTGTTAGTTAACACTTTTATGGAACCAGTTATCTGCTTTGGGTATTTCGATGTTTGTTGTCAACTTACTCGTTTTCACAACTTATTGACACTCTTGTCGATATAAAATATCCATTTTGTATTGGTTATTTATGGCCCAAATGACTCACTACGCTGGACATGAGTTTTGGCGGGACGAGATTACCGCGTTGCGTAATCACAGTGCGTGCCACGTGATTGATTGATTGCCCATGTCAGCACTGGGGTCTGTGCTCCAGGACCGTTTTTGTGAAATCTTGCAACAACTGTCTGTTCAAATACCATAGTTACAGAACAAAAGTTGACTTAGCGACTTTACTGAATAAGAACGTCTCCACTCTATACGGTTGCTTTTGATAGCCTGAATATAATCCAAAACATCTTTTCTGTAGCTAACTCCCTCATCGTGTGACAGCTAGATTCCACTCGAGTTCAACAATCTTGGGTCGCACCGTCTCACGTGGTCTACTGCGTGCCGTCTTGCTTTGAAGTTAAATCCGATCACGGCATAACTGTTTTCCACGTGAAGTCGTTGAGGAATGGAACACAGCTTTGTTTTTAGCAATCCTAATGGGGAATCCAAACAACTGATTGCTCTCTGCCAGATGGGGCTTGGATAATTTAGCTGGACGTGAGAGATACCTCAGCTCATAGTCTTAAGGTAACGATTTTGTCTTGCAATCCGAGATAACGGTTCGAGCCTGCGTAAGAGCAGGGCGACCATCGCAGCACCTGTAGCCCACGTGCGACCGATGCTGGTTGCGCAGCAGCGAAGCGTCGGTATTGCGTACCTCCGTACTGCTGGTACCTTTTTCTATTGTGCTACGACACAAATAGATAAGATGTTTGAAAAAAGCTAACCACAAACTATTGCGATGTGCAAGATTTAAACAATTACTATCGTGCTTTATTTCGTATTATGCATCAAAGGTGGGGTCATGATTAGAGGGGAAGGTTAAGCCCGTGGGTTAGGCATTGTACACTGTGTGCCTTCGAGCGCATTCCTCCGCGTATATTATATCCTATCGCTGTACTTAATTGGACGAAACCACCAGATAGCCAGTGGATGGCAGTGTAGAGGCTTGAAGAAATTGACTGATGATTGGCTACCCTTTCGTGGAGTCATTGGCGCCCATTCACTCGTTGTTAGCACGTATCTGTTAACCTCACATCCGCTTAATCTGGCTTACTTTTCCTAAGATTCTTTTACACCCTACCTCATCTTCGTCACTGTGTTACTTTTTGCCATCTTAGCGATGCGAGTAGTGGAACATGGATACACTGGACTTCGCTTACCTGGTCATTTCTCTTTAACCGAAGAAAGCTGGGCTGCTTTTATGTTTGTCTTAAAGAACAGAAGTACCCAAAAAGTGTTGTCAGCACACTCCAAGTCATTTAATCTCGAGAGTCAGCTTTGTATTGTTGTACTTCGAAGTTTCGCCCCCTTCTTTAGCGCTAATGGCGTGAGATGACGTTACTCAGTGTCACCGTTCCTATTCGATTTTACTGTGGATGGCATTCTGAACCATATTACGTCGTGACATCGCCGTACTTTGTTATTCCTCGCAGGCTACGCCAAATATTCTGCATAGCTTGGAAATGTCTGCATCACAATTCAGAGTAACCTTCGCTCCCTCGATTTCTATGGACAGGTTAGGAGCCACTTCTGCTCAAACACTTCCGGATTAAGCTTTGAAATTGATCAGAAAATCCTTTCACCACAGGAGCTATCTTGTTTTTGGCGGTTTAACGGATAATTCCCGCATGTGTTTAAGTCCTTATCGTCCTAGGCGTCTATATGACTTCCGTCTTCTTCGACATGCAACGCGTCTGTCACTGTGGACTTACCCACTTTAAAATTGCTGCTTCTTTTTTTAGCTTTCTTCTGTCCGTTCTAGGCTTTTTTAAATTTAAATGTTTAATTAACTAACCTTTAATACCTCTATCTATGCTTTTCAGGTGAATGAACATACATGCGGTCTTTTGTCGGGCTTGAGCGAAAAATCTTTGCCTCCTCCACCGGAATTCATAGAACATCGCAATCGCCTGTGGTCCAAATTGCGTAAAGAGTATGAGGAATTCGTATCAGCTCAGCCGCGATCACTGATTCAAATAACTCTGCCTGACGGGGCTACGGTTGAGGGAAAGGCATGGGAAACCACTCCAATGGCTATTGCTAAAATCATCAAGTCAGTGCAGCTGAACCTTTTACTCCTTTGCTTTGATGTGCGTACACATGAATTCTGCTAAAAAAACGAATACTTGCTTCTTCTTTATACGTTTTACCCGCGCTTGTTGTTTATTTACACACATGGATGTCGGAGTTTTTAAACCTATAAACCTGCATTTCCATCGCATTACCTCACGCGTATACTACAATGTTCCTAAAACGAATGTCACTCTTGGACACGATCTCTGTTCTGTCTTCCGATTCATTCTGTCTTGATGGTTCAGTTCGCATCAGGTGGTGAATTAGGAAAGGCTATCCTGAAGCAGCACTTATCAGATATATGTAGCTACACATAACTCAGTGGAGAAGGCTTGTTAGGGTATTACAAAAGCATGGAGCGAAAGCGCTCCACTTGTCCCCAGTGAAGTTGATGCGAGCATACAACAGACGCATTGCTGGACTCACAGAAAAGTGGTTTCAGAACTGCTGATAAGCAGGCCGTCTAGCGTAGTTTCAAGCTAACCGAAGCTAGCTTTATTATCATTTCCGCATTAGTACTTATCGAAAAAGAGTCTCTGGCTCTTTTAACCGAAGTCTTGCTTACCTTCTAATTGAAGTTGAACTCGACTTATTACACCTACATGTTTTTGAATCCGTATCAAACTTAGAGGTTCAGTTTAGGAATGCCGATTAATGGAGATCCGAGCACCGAATCGCGGCGGTTTCGGATCTCCATCAACAGAATGATAACAATAAAAATAAATAATATGTCAGGTGTACGCCGTAACGGCGCTTTGCTGCCGTGCAACCATTGATAAGCAATGAAACAGAGCAGAAAAACCAATCGAGTAATCGAGTCTGTTCTAATCCTCTATGAGCAACATTAGGATGCACCGTTGACCACGTTGCTAGCTGGAAGCAAATCATCAAATTTAAGACGGATACAAAGTTTTCGGCGACTGTCAGTTGCCTTTTCTATGCCCATCAGCCTACCTAATTCTGTTACTTCCGTTTAGCAACATGACAACCAAGAACAGGGCGCAGGTTTTCGGTTTTTGTAGCTTCGTGTTTCTACTCCCATGCCATCCAGCTACCCCGGCATTTTGCCCAGTAGCATGTGACAAGCCGAGAATTGCATTGTGTGCGCACAGATGTCACTCGAATAATCGGCGTCCATTCAACGAGCGACAGTCGCACATTGTTGGAGTAAATCACCGAGGTTTTCATTTTGTTGGCCGTACAACGTCAAAGGCTGACTTGCCACCTGGAATGGTGTTTCATTACGTCTCCAAAATCTTCCTTGCCTATTTGTGGAAGTATGTATGATTTTTATAGCCGAAATCAGCAATTGGCCTATTACGCACTGTATTCTGTAGTCCTCTACCTAAAAATCGATGGAATAGGACAGTATATGTAAACTTGGAGTTAGTCTAGCCAAACGAAATGTCGAAATTTTTCCGAGAGAACGGATTAACCTACAATAGATGGCATAAAAACAATTTTCCAGGGTAATGACACTGACCATTTTGAAGATCATCATCATCATCATACATGTTAGCTAGAGGTGGGGAACACCTCAGCTACTGTGCCATTTTGAAGAACCTTCCTGTGGATCATCTTGTCATACCACTGCTAGAGTCTTGGTTAATTACGAGTGAGTCACTGCCGTCTTCAACCTGTGCTCAAAGAATATCATAGTCAGATACTTTGTATCTTCCTCTGGTAGCACTTCATGCCGAATCGTGGCTGTACGTTGCTGCCCGCTTTGTCTGCCGTCTTATTCTATCGAATCCAGCTACGAGGACCTCAAATATGTAATTGTCACTAGTACTCGGCGTTTTTCGCTTGTCAATGCTAACTGCTGTCGACACTGTTTCAACTTCTGCGCTTGTTTCGAACTGGCGATTGCGCATGGACGCCGTTATCAAGCTGTCTGATAAGTTATCCCTTCTCTGTGTCTGCTCCTTCTTCGTCTGTATCCAACTCCGTAACAGCCACGCGTTCACAGGTGTGCTAGCTTTTTGAGATGTTTGTCACTATTATGGGCTCTATTGATTGTTACTCCAGCCAATCTGTTTTTCGTCACTTGCAGCAAGGATTTAGCTGAACATGCAGTCATCGCCCGGGTCAATGGCGAACTTTGGGACTTGCTTCGTCCATTTGAGAAAGATGCCACCTTGGAGTTGCTCAACTTTGAACACAAAGATGGTGAGTAGACTCAGGTTCTCCTCATTTTTTGTCTTGAATTCATTCAATAAAATTTAGCTTACTAGCATTGCCACGGTTGTCTTAGATATCTTTGAAGTGTGTCGTGAATCCACACAGCATTTTGGCGACTGGTACTGCTTAATTTTTGAGTATTAATGATTCACGGCGCAAGCTAGGGCAGTTGTGACTCGGACAACCACTGTCCTCTGCACGGGCAGTGACCTGCACGTCGGGCTATACCGCAGTTAGATTTAACTCCGTGATGGGCGGCCATCGTCTCCCACGACTCAGTGACCTAAGCTGCTGGCCAGCGCTGCAAGCCACTAGCGGTCCTGGGTTCGAACGCCAGCATGAGATATAGGGAATTCGCACTACTGACGAGCCCCAATAGGGCGAATCGATCGTCCGATGCTTTCCCGGATTAGTGGCTCACCTCCTCGGCTTTTACTCGAATTGCGATGACCCATATAAAATGAACTTGTGTTTGTTGAGCTCCTCACATCCCATCAAACAGACGGGCGTCACACTGGACAGTTGTTACATCCTTTCGGGAATCGTCGGCATTGTGTTTCTCCTATCTGTCTACTCTGAAGCTAGAACTCATGGCCCCACGCTTGCGGGTCCGTGCTTATGACCACCCGGCTACTGGGCCGGCGAAGACCGTGATAGTTAGTTAGTAATCGTGGTGTAGCGTGACTCGCTCTCCACTTACTTACATGTCGCTTCTTTGCAAAAGGTAGGACAACCACCTTACTACTCTGATCAACTTTAACAGTATGGTCGAAAGCATGGGGCCGCTTGGAATATCAAAGCTAACTTCTCCGCTAGAGAACATTGAAAAGTTTCTACTCACTAATCTAATATTCCGGATGCCTCATCCGAGAAAATAATACAATGTGCGACGCTCACTGATGTCTTCAGTCATTGCTGCTAGTACCCACTGACCATTCGGACTTGATAGCGGCGCGATATGGTAGTTGCTAGTGTCACACACCGTTTTTTTCGCCGACAGGAAGATACTATGTTGCGTCCGTGTTTAATGATTTCTCATCTTTCTTCTCGCCTATCGAACACATCTTCCATCACCTTTGTGTATTACTTTCATTGCTGTGCTTATCGACCCAAACTAATCGGTCCTTTAAATAACCCAGATAAACTTACTTCGCATCGCAAGTAATTCGCGTTGCTGATACATTGATGCTGATGCATTCATCAATCCATTCAGAAATTTCAATAAACGAACAATCGATAGTAATAATACAATGACAATTTCCTCAAATGTTAACTACCTTCTGCATCGACTGTCGCGCAGATTATCAAGGGTCGCCTTACCTGCCGTATGAAGCAGGGTGGATAAGCGAAAACATGCTAGTGCTGGCGCTTCCCTTCTCTCTTTTCCACCTGTTTCTCTTACTCCCCTCCCAATCCTCATTACTAATCTCCCTTCTATAGTTCTCAGCTTAATTCGTAGCAACCGTAATGCTAATGCAGTCGAACTATCTGCAGCTACCTTCCAGCACCACCCACTGAGCGCCTATCGGCAACAGTCCCCTATAAGTCCACGCTGCCCCGTTTCTCTTGTGGCGTCCAACGTTCACACTCTAAGACAAATAGGCCAACTCTTTGCACTCATACGCACCTTGGCCACACTGGGTGTTGATGTGTGTTGTGTCCGAAACTAAGGCCAATGACCCCAATGGGGTTGTTGAATTATCCTCTCGTTATTGGTTGCACGCATCCGGAGACGCCGATGCAGCACTCACGGGTCAAGCTGGCGTAGGTATCATTCTCACCTCCAAGGCTGAGTCCTCGTTGGTTGATTGGATTCCGGTGAACAGCCGTTTATGTGCAGCTCGTTTGACGACATCAGCTAAGGTGAATTCGCGAATTAAAACAAAACGCTGTTTGTTTGCGATTTCTGCTTATGCTCCCACCGACTCCAATTCTAAGGCAGTCAAGGACACTTTCTATCACCAACTGAACACGCTGCTACGCAGTGCTGCCAGTTCAGATATCACAGTACGTGCAGAGGATATGAATACACAGGTAAGTCGCCTGGGCTCTTCAGAAGTCCAGATAGGTGGTAATTATGGGCTTATCTCCGACCTTACGGACAACGGCGAGCGTCTGTTACAGATGTGTGCGGGACACAAGCTGTTTCTTAGTAGTACAGTTTTTAGACAATGGGTGCCGAATGGCCGCTTGGTGTCCCGCGGTAGCTGGCCAACGATGAACCCAAATTGATCATATTGCCAAAAGTTACAAGTGGCTCCGTCATGGATTGCGGCTCGTTCTAGGTTACTTGCCTCGACTCTGATCATGCCTTAGTACGCTGTCGCTTTTCCATGAACTTTACCTGGAGACGCTTGGTGCGTCTCCGTCGATTGGCAACTGAGACATTATCTCTGCCATCGGTCAGGCGAGCCTACCAAGCTGCACCATTTACCGAACTTTGAATCCTTTGTCGTAATTACAATGTGCTTCAGTGGGATAGGATTTCAGTCGCCATGCACTGCGCAGGAGCATCTGCTTGTGGTACTATCAATCGTCACGGCACCAGTCACTGGATATTGAAGAGGTCGGTGAACCTGTTAAATTCCTGAAGAAACCTCGGCTGGCTCTGAGCACATTGTAACCAGACGAGGTATTCGGCACGAACTAAAGTGGAGCTTACGCGCTGACGAGGAAGCCTGGTGGACCAATCGGGCTCAAGAAATGGAGGAGGCGGGAGCAGTAGGGTGCTACCGCAAGCTCTTCCAGCTGATCCCTACCACTGGTCACAGGAAACCAGGCGTCAGCGACAATCAGAGATAGCGCGGGAGAACTGGTACACAGTATTGAACGCCGTATGGAATGTCGGACGAAACACTTTCAAGATCACTTCAGTTGTCTCCATGTTTCCGGATCTCTTCCTACTCAGATGATGCAGGATGAGCCATGAACCGTTACTTTAGATGCTCCATCGGAGGCTGAGGTCCGAAACGCCATCGCAGCCCTTAATCGTTTTCGTGATTCTGCCCCGGATTCGCTCTCACCCGCATTATTTAAGAATGGATGTGAGGTCCTCTGCAAAGCACTCACCTCCCTGTTCGAGCATGTATGGAAGGAGGAAATTGTCCCGGCCAACTGGAGTGAATCGATTATATTGGTGAAATACAAGAAGCGCAGTTGCACCGACTGTGCCAACCACAGGGGTATTAGCCTAACGCCGCTTGTGACAACATTACTGGCCTTAATTCTCGTCCGTCGCCTTACTGCGGGACGGGAATCCCGGATAAGGGGAGAACAGACAGGTTTCGGCCTTGGACGTGGCTGTATGGACCACATATTCACTGCGGCAGGTACTAGAGCAGCGCGACGCGCCTGCCGCAGACTGACAATAGCTGTGTTCATCGATTTCTGTTCTGTTCGAAATACTTGCACCGAAAGGTGTTCCCATGAAACATACGAACATTTTACTTTCCTTATACTCGAACACGACGGGCCGTGTCAGGGTCTACGGCGATTTGTCATGTGTCTTTCCGACAACCAATTGCGTTTGTCAGCGTTGTCCATTTTCCCCATGTTTGTTCAATTTCGTCATGTACTGCATCATGGAGTGTTCCCTTGCGGAATCTCACGGTGCATGCGTTATGGTACTGCCCGGGGAAAGGCTACTTGATCCTGACTATGCGGACGATATCGTCTTGTTGTTTAACGATGTTGTGGCGGCATAATCAACTCTGAATAGCCTCTCTAGAGTGTTCGCATCATTTGGCATGCGCTTCATACCTTCAAGGTGCAGTATTGCTGCAGGACCACCAGTCATCTGATGACCTGTTGACCCTAGAAAACGAAGAACTCGAGGTAGTTAATCAATTTACTTACCTTAACAGCTGTAACAACAATGATGGGTGAATAGCTACTGAAGTCCGTTCACCTATTGCAAAAGCCAGAACTGCCTTTTGAATCGTACAAGTGACCTTGGCTCAGGGTAACGTGCGAACGGACCAAATCAGAGCTTGCGACTATTTTGCAGATAATCGATCATTATCTTACTGCTCATCATTGAGCCTACACTCATTGCACTCGGATTTACTAGCTCCACAAAATGGATATAAAATTGTCAAAGTAATTCCACTGCTGTACCAGAATATTCACTTACAGCAATTTGGACAGACTTGTTAGAGAAATTCAAGCGTTGAACATTTTATTCTCATTCGAAATGGGTTTTTCCAGGCTATACGATTCACCTATACTCGTGCTCATCCAATACGGAGTTAAGCCCCTATGTCATATATTGCAGCCGCCGGATTACTGCTGCCAATCCAACCTCCCCAGGCGATTTGTCGCAGCCGCCATCGATCGGTAACCACCGCATCGTCAATTCACGCTTTGTTGGCTTAGCGTGCGTCAGCTAGCCTGCCTAGTCCAGAGGATCAGTTGCTTGACTTGTGCACGCGTGCGTTCACTTGTACGGGTTTGTGTGCACAACTGCCCCACTCTGCAAAATTCAACATCTCCACCTGACCATGGGTGCACGCTGGACACATTTGTTGAATTGCTACTTGTTGCTATTATCGACAAACCTTCCAGTGAGATCTAGCCCACCTATCAACCTCCAACTGCGAGAATTTACACGTGATCGGTGACGATGTCCCAATCGAATAACGCCGCGGAATCTGAACGCTCCAGACAGTAAAAATTTGAGAACGGTCGTTTTTTTACCCCAGTACTCTGTATTTGAAATATTTGCTGTACTTCAGGTTGCGTTCCATAGAGAAATCCTATAGCATTCTTCCCTGACCAAGATCACCCCCTTATCGTCAAACGTTTATAACACTCGCTTATGATATCACGGAGATGTGCACGCTCTACCACGGTCTTCCAGAAAAAATTCAGCATCTGCTAAGCCCCCAACTTCGCCAAAATCCACTAAGCCACCTGGACTGAGAAATAAATCGGTTAAACAACTTTACCCGTTGACCGACACACTTACCAAATTCAAGTCTATTCCAACC